TCGATCGGTCTCCAAACATCGTTTTAAAAAAGAACAAACGTTTAAGTTTATTCACGACAACGAGTTTGACCGAAAATAGAACAAGAATAAACAATTATTTACAACATTAGACGGCTGAACGGACAAACCCCGAAAAACACAAACTTACAGCTTTTTCCCGAAATGAATGATTAACCTCTGGTAGACGATGATCGCGAAAAGGAAATTAAAAGAACAGCGACAATGACTAGCTCTAATATAACTCGAAGGATGTTAGTTTGACTGTTGCCACAGAATTTAAACTACTAGTCTTATTAACATATTGACCTCACGCGCGCGCGAAAATACCAGATGTCCCGCGGGGCCTCTTGTAAGCATAATTAGCCAGAGTGTTACACAAGGACTTTTCTCTTCCCTTTTTCAGCACGTTTCATGACCTCGATAAGAAGTGATAGGTAGTATGGAAGAGCGAATTGATTCGAGAACACAACTGCGAAATGGCGAGTAAACAAGAAAATGCTAATGAGGCCCTTGTAATAAGAACCGTTTCGCGCAAAAAGCCGACGCGCTATGAGGATTATGACACCTAACTGTTTTATTAACTTTTTTATTTACCTTTTTTTCTAAATAACTCGCGCGCGTTTTAAGATTTTGCCTGGATTTTACTTTCATGTTTTGGGCACTGTTAGACTTTATAGCGAACTTTTTGTTTTGCTTAAAAAGAAAAATTCGACAAAAGTAGAACTCTCAAGCTATTGTGTAACCTTAAAGAAATTGCACTATGAGCAAACTCGAGAATTCAAAGGTCATTCCACTGAAATAGAACCTGCTCTGAGATTTTTGTGAAACTTTGTCTATTGATTGTTTATATTATAGGAACTTGAATTTTGAAATAAAAATGAGGGGTCCCCATAATAGCACCATGATTGTAGTCACGATTGCTTGCCAAATTCACGTTTCCGACGATTGTTGTTTGTTCTACACTGAGAATTGGTCCACATTTATTTTACACAGAGAAAGTTATTACAAAACAACACAAAAAAATGATAGGTCACCATACTCGTTTGCGAGAAAATGACGATTTACCTCTATGGCGAGGTCCAGCCGTAAAGAAAAAGCCGTCATTTTTTAATGCGCGCGCGCTAATCACGCGTGAAATTATGCGCAGTAGGGATGCGCAATGCAATACTGGGGAATGACCTTTAGTAGTTTCACAGTGATTTACTTTATTTCGACATACTCCTAATAAAATATAATAGCCAAACTCTTGCATGTAAACAAAAACAAGGTCATGTGATGGATTAGTCAATCCCAGCGGTGCCTATGCTCCTATGTCAGCGCCTGCAGGCAATAGCTGGGCATCTACTCCTGTCTTAATTCTGGATATGGGCTGGGACAGATTCAGGATTTGGTGAAGGGAGGTTTGGAAAATAGTCCGCTGATGGGACACCCTTCTAGGGGGTCCCCGGAAACGTGATTCCCAGCGTTTGTGAGGGACGATTGTTGGTTGTGTAATATCTGTGAAATCATCTCTGTTTTGAGCTATTTAAACAAGGACTTGGTGAGAAAGTTTTGTGAACACCAAAACAATTTTTACGTCTTGCATAAAACAAGGAGGAGGTTTTCATCCATCATTGATATATTGCCCTTTTCATTTTGTCACATTGAAGTGATTGCATGGGAGTATAAAGAGAAGAGTTGTAACCTCCCAAATGAATCATCACATGATCTGAATTGAGTGACAACAACGATGTAAACATGTTAGCCAAATCTGTCTCTCAAGGAGTATGTCATGAATGGTGTCTCAATGTTTTGCACTTTTCACAGCAAGACCTTTGAAGAAATAAATAAGCGCGCGGGCCATAAATCGAAGGGGAAATAACGAGAATCCGTAACTTACAGTACGGACCGAGAAAACGAGGTTAGTAAGATTTTTATTATATATCTACTGTGTGTCTGACGGGTTTGGGAACGACTTCTATTCACGCGAAACGGCTTCAAATTTCTGACGCTCATTAAAAGCAAAAAGAGTAAATTTGAAATCGTTGTTAAGTCGTTAGCACGTTTTAATACACAATTAATGTAAAAGAAAGTTTTAGACTTTTACGTGCTTTAAAAGTTAAAAGGCTTCAGTCACGGTATTTTCAGTTATTTTCGCCACATACAAAATTACCTTTAAATGGTAGGAAACCTGAAAATAACAGTTTCATAAGATAGAAAAACACCAAAGAGATAATGATAAACCATAAAGGAACAAGGATGGCTAAGGAAGGAGAAGATTGACACAGATTGCAAACGACGAATTTGAAACATAGGCACGCAAGGCGTGCAAGAGTTATTTTTTTGTGTGAAGTGTCGGAGATAGGAGCATTCA